AAATACATGTGTGTAAATACATCTAAATGCCACTTCAGATGCAGCTTCTGTGTTGATTTAATTTGCTTGGTAACAGCCCAGATGTCTTATTATTCTAATTCCCTGATTAAATGTAAGAATTTGACTCAAAATATAATGGACACTTTTAGAAAAAATGGCTTTATATAGGTAAAAATGCCCATAAAACGTAAAAATCAGTTTAAACTGATTGGAAAAGATTAATTTCTATCAGTATGAACTGACCACCACACAGAATATGAAGAATATTAAAAACATTATGAGTCAGCTGTCTTCGGCAGTCCTTAAGGTACCAGCACAATAACACACTCAGCAAAATATCGTCTAATTATCGTTATCGATAAAATCCCAGAAAATATCGAGATATTATTTTTTGTCAATATCGCACACCCCTAGTGGCTGCATTTATTTGAGAGAAAAAAAATACTACCCCTGGCTCCTGACAATATATTGTGGTCTTATGAAGTGAAACAATCCGTTTGTGCAACATTATATACAACATTATTCCCTGTAATCTAGAGCCTCAGGCAAACGGGTACGAACGAATCATTCTTTTGAACCGGTTCTATTTGGTGAACTAGATGAATCAGTTCACCAAATCAGACTGAATCATCTGAAACAGTTCGCGGCTCGAGCAGCACAGATCTACAAGTTACTCAATCAAAACTCACTTTCAGATGCCTGACAGTCACTCCGACTGGAAATGAGCCAAAATAGCGGCATATCTGATCCTATGATGAATGAATCATTCAGTGCTCCAGTTCCTCCAATAGTCACTGAACTGAGGAAACAATTCGACTCGGACCGAAGACCGATGAACCGCTGATATGCGCATGCGTGAACCGAGTGCTTGAATGAAGGAACTGATTTATTCACTTTATATGCTTTTTAGACATGTAAAACAACCATGCTTCACATCATTATTGGGTGCTTTAATAATATAATTGCAAATATGTTACATCATTGTGTGATTATGTAAACGAACTAGTGAGCTGAACCAGTTCACTGAAACGAACTGTCTGAAAGAATCAGTTTGTGGAAAAGAATCAGATGTCCCCGTTGCATGAGGCTCTGGATTACGGGTAATAATGCTGTAAATAATGTTCAGTTTCTTGCACAGACCAATCATTTCTCTTCATAAGACCTCAACATATCGTCAGGAGCCACGGGTATTTTGTGTTCCTTGATATGCTGTTTTTATTCTCAAAATCATGCATTTTATGAATCATCAAGGCGCACGGTTTCAGCTAAAAATCTTTTCCGTTCTACTGAAGAAACAAAGTCACCTATCGCTTTAAACATCAATCGAAGAAAAAAAAAATCCCAAATACAGACTCAAAGTCACGATGAAACAAAAGTAACAACAGATCTTTTCTTTTGTACAAAAACAATGTAGGGCGGGGTCTTGGTTCTACACACTGGATGATGATTGGATGTTGAGATGTGGGCGTGGCACTCAAAAATGTACGCAGATGAATGTGAGCTTGCAGGGGTGGAGTTTATGCACCTAGCAACCACCTAGCAACCACTCACCACATCCTAGCATTGTGCCAACAACTTCTGCTCAAGCAAACACTCTCTAATTTACTAATTAGACATTTATCTGACTTATTTTAATTGATAGTTTATTTACAGTCACAGATTACTGGTGATCAGTGGTGATAATCACTCATAAATCTACAAACCATGAGCTACTACTATGGTAAATGTCCAAAACACCATGGTAATATCATGGTACACATGCAAAAAAACATGGTACTACCGTTCTAAAACAATTATAGGACCATAACAATTGTTTACACTTGAAATCAAGCAGCGACAGACATAATTATGAGATACTACCATGGTAAATGCCTAAAAATCATGGTAATACCATTCTAAAGCCATTATAGCAGTGAAATCAGACATGATTCAGATTGACATGATGGAAACATCACACATGTGCACAATTGTTGTGATGCTGCGCGGTGTGTGTGTGGTGACTCAGGCTTCCGCCACACACACACACACACACACACACACACACACACACACACGACACTCAGCTCACGGATCCACAGCAGCACACATGATGATGTTCATAATCATAACACGAGTTAGCACCAGTGATTTACTCACATCTCAGTGGCTGACGCTGAACGTGATCACAGGTGTTTCGCGTTCTTCATCCTCATCCTCATCCTCAGCAAAGCCCGCCGCCGTCTTTTCCGTTCTACTGAAGAAACAAAGTCACCTATCGCTTTAAACATCAATCGAAGAAAAAAAAAATCCCAAATACAGACTCAAAGTCACGATGAAACAAAAGTAACAACAGATCTTTTCTTTTGTACAAAAACAATGTAGGGCGGGGTCTTGGTTCTACACACTGGATGATGATTGGATGTTGAGATGTGGGCGTGGCACTCAAAAATGTACGCAGATGAATGTGAGCTTGCAGGGGTGGAGTTTATGCACCTAGCAACCACCTAGCAACCACTCACCACATCCTAGCATTGTGCCAACAACTTCTGCTCAAGCAAACACTCTCTAATTTACTAATTAGACATTTATCTGACTTATTTTAATTGATAGTTTATTTACAGTCACAGATTACTGGTGATCAGTGGTGATAATCACTCATAAATCTACAAACCATGAGCTACTACTATGGTAAATGTCCAAAACACCATGGTAATATCATGGTACACATGCAAAAAAACATGGTACTACCGTTCTAAAACAATTATAGGACCATAACAATTGTTTACACTTGAAATCAAGCAGCGACAGACATAATTATGAGATACTACCATGGTAAATGCCTAAAAATCATGGTAATACCATTCTAAAGCCATTATAGCAGTGAAATCAGACATGATTCAGATTGACATGATGGAAACATCACACATGTGCACAATTGTTGTGATGCTGCGCGGTGTGTGTGTGGTGACTCAGGCTTCCGCCACACACACACACACACACACACACACACACACACGACACTCAGCTCACGGATCCACAGCAGCACACATGATGATGTTCATAATCATAACACGAGTTAGCACCAGTGATTTACTCACATCTCAGTGGCTGACGCTGAACGTGATCACAGGTGTTTCGCGTTCTTCATCCTCATCCTCATCCTCAGCAAAGCCCGCCGCCGCTTATTCCGCTCGAACCGCGCCTCATCCGAACGGGAATCTGCTCAATGAGACGCTCAATGAGACGCTCAAACACTAAAGCACACCTCCTCAAGTGTACTGATGAGTGTGTGTGAGGCTCGTGTGGATCTGTGGCAGCCGAACAGTTCCCAGCCCCGCGGCGGCGCGTTCTGATCCGGGTCCTAGCGCCGCCGAGCGTCTGCGAACGCCAACAACAGGTTTCAGCGCGATCATTGGACGTTCGCTTATGAATATTAATCAGATGCTGACGTTCTTTACTGGCGCGTCCAATTAAGAGTGTAATTAATATTCACGAGGTGAGGCTTCACACATCCATAGACTGCGAAAATGCAGTCAAATGTAAAAAAAAAAAAAAAAAAAAAGAAAGGTAAACCAAGACAATAATTCAGGAATTATAGAATGCTGTTTGGATACTATTTTTTTTTTCTTCGTATTTTTTACTTTGAACTGAAATTTTAGATAATTGCTAAAATTTTATAATATTTTAAAACATGTATTGACTTTTAAATATGATATC